ATGTTTGCTAAGAGGTTGGGGACATGGCTCACCTGGTGAAGTACTTGCTCACAAGCATCAAGACATGAGTTTGGATCCTTAGCACCCACATAAAAAGCCAGGTCTCAGGGTGGGCACCTGTAACCCCATCCTGGAAATTCCATTGGCTTGGTGGCCAGCCAGTCAGTCTAGCCAATGAATGAGCTCTAAGCTTAGCTAGAGACTCTTGTTTCAACAACTAAGGTAGAGAAGCCATTGAGGAAGTCACCTAACATCGACCTCTGGCCTCCAAAAGGACCACACATGCACATGACTACATACATGTATACACATATGTATACATACCTCTAAAACAAAAACATAAAATATTTGTTAAATGAATGAACTTTCTGGTCTTAATCTTAATCTTCCTCTTCGTGACCTTACACTCAGTTCCCACACAAACACTTCTCTAAAACTTATTCGTTCACAACTAATCCGACAATTTAAAGAACTCTCTCTTTTCCAAACTCTATTTACAGAATTTTCCTTTTTTCACATTACCAAAAAAAAAAAAAAAAGCATACTTCCTATTACCCCTAATAGTACAGTGGTGTGGCCCTAGGGAGTAGAAACTTCCAGTCTTTTCAAAACAGTTCCTGAGAAACTATCACTGCGGGGAAGGAGTCAAGAATATCTCTAGAAATCAAAAGGGGCTGTATTTTATATTATTCTCGGGAAAAACTCTTGGCAGTTCCCCTTACTTATTTAGTTTTATCTTATGTGTATGAGTGTATTGCCTGCATGTATATACAAGGCACCCATGTTGTACGATGCCCGAGTAGGACTGAAGAAGCTGTCGGATCCCCTGGAACTGGAGTTATGGACAGCTGTCAGCTGCCATGTGGGTGCTGGGAATCAAACTCAGGTCCTCTGCAAGAGAAGCCAGTGCTCTTAACCACTGAGCCATGGCTCCAGCCCCATCTTTACCTTCTTATTTTTATGTTGAATAATTAGAAGTCAGGGGGAGATGAGTCTATCAGCTGACAGTAACACTTACTTGAATTTAAAAGGTAGTCTTTTGTGACAGCACATTAACTTAATAAATTAATTTGACAGAGTCCTGGCTTTCACACGAAGATATGTTACTTCCAAAGAGCTAAATCTGCATTTCGGAGATTCTGATAATGTGGACTTAAAGCATATGAGTAATATATAATAAGATTAACAACCCACATCTAGCAACAATTTAGCCTTCTTCCAAAAATGTTAGAGAACTTGAAAACGATCAAAGAAAAGATGAGTTTTTAAAGATTATTTTGAAGATGACTTAAACGAATGAGTTTGAAATACAGTGATTTAGATTCCCAGGCTGTCTCACCTGTTGCCCGTGGGCTCAAGCATCCCAGAATAGCTATGAATGCAACCCAACACATTTGTAGATGGCAAAGCCACATCACAGTCTCAAAAAGATGAACACTCCTGGATCAGTAGGGATATATGATGAAAAGAAATCTGGGAAAGGAGGCTTTCTGTGTCCCACCATGACACCGTGGGAAAGGGCCCATAGCAACGAGCAGGAACACCTAGTGACCCTGCCGCCATATTAGAACAACTTCTCTCTCCCTTCACCCATGAAAACACCATCCGAGGATGCATTCCTACCCAGAGGACTGTCAGAAAGAGTCAGAGAAGCAATACAAGTAAAGACCAGGAACTTAGCACATAGAAACCAAAGGTAGATGTCTGACAATATTGATAGTAACAATTCTTTCTAGTTTGTTTTTTCTCATGCTGAACTTAATGCCTTTTTAAATTTTTTCCTCTATTTTTGTATTACTGTTACACACACACACACACACACACACACACACACACACACACGATGCTGAGTCCATCTAGTGGTGCTCATGAGTAACTTTGGATTACTCAACCTACCAGGGAGCTCATCCCTGGAGGAATAATTCCACCTCTGTCAGCATCTCTGATTGCCTACAGCTTTTTCTCATCCAGAGGTTGGCCCCTGAGTCATTTCCCCCATCCATATTGGTATGTCAACTGGTTTTGTCATTATTTACATCCCATATAGCCCAGGCTGACCCCAAACTCGCTCTGCATCTAAGGATGACCTTGAATTTCAGCTCCTCCTGCCTCCACTTGCCAAGCGCCACGCCAGGCTCTAGCTAACATCTTAAACCAGCTCCTCCCATTTGTACATTTAGTGTCTGCCTCTGTCTATTTGTACTTTCCCTCAAAAGCATATTTTTCCTTTTCTCCCGTCGTCCCCGCTCCCCTTTATCATGCGTTTTGTTTTGAATGCTCTTTTCTGCTTCCTGCTGAAATCTAATCACCTATTCCACAGACTTACGTAGGAAGCGGAATTTCCCATTCCTGGGTATAAAGTGTTTCATCCCACACCACGAGAGCTCACATTCCTCCTCCTAAGCTATTTTGTTCTCAAATCAAAATAATCTCAAACCAACCAAATAAGGTTGTGGAAAGTGCCGCCTTTGAGGAGAGCTGATTACAAAGACTACAATTTTTTTAATTTTTTGCAAAAAAGTGTAACGTTAACTCTGTAAGTATTCAAAAATAAAAATCTCAATGAAAGAAAAATATTTTTGTGTTTTCTTACCTCCTCTGTAGTTCATTTAACTTTTTGCATGTGCGTGTGATGTACATGTGCATGTATGTGCGTGTGGTGTACATGTGTGTGTGTTCATGTGTGTAGGTGTATATGTGGAAAAATGGAGGCAAAGCCTCTCACTTGAACCCAGACCTGTTGGTTCATCGAGTCCAGTCAGCCATCTTTCTCCAGGTGTCCCCTGCCTCTGCCTCCTAAGTGCTAGGGTCACAGGCAGCCTGCCACACCTGCTTTAGGAGGCATTCATGTGGTTGCTGGGAAGCCCAACCCTGGTCCTCAGGCTTGCCTGGCAAGTGTTTTACTGCTGAGTCATCTCCCCAGTCCTTCCATTTAATTTTTAATAATAAGTAGTTTTGTTGAAACAATTCAATTATTATAAAATTCCTATGAATTACAACTGTCAACTATGAAACCATAAATGTACTAGAAAAATATGGAAAAATACTTTAATGGGATTACTAGAGTATGGAAAATTGTCCCAAGGAAGATTTTTTAATATTTATTTATTATTTTTATTATATGTGTACGTGTGTATTGCCTGCATGTAGGCAAGTGTACCCATGTCGTAAAATGCCCGAGGAGGACAGAAGAGGCTGTCAGATCCCCTGGAACTGCAGTTACAGACAATTGTTAGCTGCCACGTGGGTGCTGGAATTTGAACCTGGGTGTTGTGCAAGAGCAGTCAGTGCTCTTAACCACTGGGCTCAGCCATCTCTCCAGCCCTGAAGATTTTTTTTCTAATAAGGAAGCCACAGAAGAAAAGACTAACTTGTATAACAAATTTTAAACTACCACAGGCCATAAGCTAAAATATATGGGGAATATAGAGAAAATATTTATGAACATATAATGACCAAAGTCTTAAGTGTCCATAACATGAGCAGTCTTTCTAAATGGATAGGAAAATATTTTTAAAGAAAAAGAAAAGAAAAGAAAGCAAAAATACACAGGAAATGCACAAAAGAGAAAATACTAATATTTAATACGCCCTTAATCCTCGTATTCAGACAAAATGCAAATTAAGTAAGAAATATTTTCCAGACAAAACTTTTAAAGGTTAACCATGCTTACAGTGTTGTTTTCAGAGGAGGGAAACTGATAGGTTGCCTTGACTACAGAAAACTAGAAGACCCTGGTACTCTCTGGTTCAGTCTTATCAGTCAGCCAGCCCTGGAATGTAGGGGAAACAGACTGTCAGCCTGTTGCCCAAGATAGGCTGTCAGGCTTGAGCAAAAGGCCCCAGGAAGAAAAAAGGCCACAAATTTCTCAAGAACCCCCTGACCTGTAAATAGACCTCTGCAGCTGCATCTATCTACTTCTTTGTCCCCAAGTCCCTATATAATCGCCACTATTGCCCCTCCCCAACGCAGTTCCCTCCCCAACGCAGTTCCCTCCATCCTAAGGGAAGGCTATTGTTCCTTGCTGTGCTGAATAAACCCAGTCTTGGTCTGTTGAAGGCCTGGCACTGGTTCTCTCTCTCTCTCTCTCTCTCCCCCCCCAACAGAAACTTTTTCCCCCTTATTGACAAAAAATGGTACATTGGAGAGGATCATTTCACATTTGTCTCTCAAGGTTGCAAAGTGTTGATTGCTTATTCTATGGCAGTACTTACTTCCGAAGGAAGGTTAAGGTGCCCCTTGTGAGTGAGTACCATGGCTCAGAATGTCAATCCCCATGCCCCATACCTAGGTACTCAGGAAGGTCTAAAGCCCATGTCTGACCTTCCTTCCTCAGAGATGCAGTTTCCCTCTCCCCCCTCCCTCCCCCTCCCCCTCCCCCTCATCCCAGTCTCCCCCTCCTTGTTTACCTATGGAAGCCTGAGGTCAAGGTCACCCCCCCTCCCTCTTTCCCAACCACTGATAGCTCACCAACAGGATGCTCCCATTAGTAGCTACCAAGATTTCTGGATGATACTAAACAAGAATTTTTCCACCTGCCCTCCAAATTTTGATACAATATGATCAATTAATATAATTGCATGTTCTTGTCCATTCCTGAAAATATTACTGCTTTGATGTGTGCGTGTGCAGCAAATCGGTCATTTCTTAATTTCTTGTATTAAGTCAGCTCACAGTGGCTGATTAGCGTGGGGACTGGAGCCAGCGCTCTGGAGGGTTGTAGTAAAGGGTGGGCAGGAAGTTGTGCTGCTATAGTTTTGAGGAAAACAATCGCTACCCCTGTCACTGTATCTCCAACAGCAAGAAGCAGGACCCCAGAGGGAGTGTGAAATACCATTAGGACTCCCATAACCCTGCCTAGAGTCCCTCCTGCATCCTTCCTGCCTGTCCAGATGGCTTTCCTCTGTTTCTGAGGCTAAATTATGCTCGCTCCCTTTAAGATGTTAATGACTTCACAAGCCTTCCTCTTTAGTCCCTCAGGAAGAGAAATCAACTCTTACCTCTGGCGAATTATGCTGGGATTAGCCGTCACCAAGTGACTTCTGGATCCCACATCTCTGATGTATTCACTTGACAACGGAGGAAGATTGCATCTAGAAAGGCAAGAACAAACGTTCTAGATGATTCATGTACTTTTAAATCAGGTTGGTAATAAGAATACAAATAGGAACTTTAATTCTGGCTCAATTCACAAGTAACTGCTTTCATCACCTCCCCTTGTCCTAAGCACCTAATGATGACTAACCATCAGCACCTTCTAAATGCTCTTTCTAAAAAGTGCTGTTTTAGAAGAAAACGTCAGCTACAAAGTAGACAATCCACCAAAGAGACAGTAACTACAATGTGTTTATTCCACTGAAAACATCTTAGAAGTGTGGTGAAACACACCTGTAACCCTAGGACTTGGGAGGTAGAGGCAGGTAGATCAGTTCAAGGCCAACCTTGACTACACAGTGAGTTTGAGTTTAGCCTAGGCTATATGAAACCTTTTCTCAAAAAAGGCAAATGGGGGTTGAGATGGCTCAGCAGTTAAGAGTGATTAGTGCTCTTACAGAGGACCTGAGTTCAGACCCCAGGACCCATGTAATAATTGCCTGTAACTCCAGTTCCAGGGGATCCGACACCATCTTCTGGCCTCTGAGAGCAATGACATGCATATAGTATGCATAAACTTATGCAAGCACACACCTACATAAATAAATAAACAGGGTGCTGGAGAGATGACTCAGTAGTTAAGAGCTCTGGCTCTCTTACAAGTTCAATCTCAGCACATACATGGTGGCTAACAACCATCTCTAACTCCAGTTTCAGGGGATCTAACACTGTCTTCTGTCCTCCAAGGGCATTGCACAACACAGGTGCACTACACACATGCAGGCAAAACACACACATAAAATAAAAATTAATTAATTAATTAATTTTAAAAATGAATAATAAGGACCTACACACATAAACATTGAACTCTCTCAGCTAAACTAACCTAAGTTACTCCATTTTGCCCAAAGCAGCTGTTTCAGGAGAAGTGTCTTTACCCTACTTAGAAGGGAGAAGTAACTTTGAATTCCAATAAATGGCCTCCCTGCATGCCACAGGGTATTGTAATCTAGGCCACTTATCTAAATCTGCTTCACATATCTATAATCTAGGTCAGGCCTGCAGTTGACTGAATTGACTAACCGTTTATCTCATCTCGCTTCTGTAAACCTGCTTCGCTTACCCAAATCAAGTCCTGGCAATAAACTGATGGCAGTTGACTGAATTGACTAACCGTTTATCTCATCTCGCTTCTGTAAACCTGCTTCACTTACCCAAATCAAGTCCCGGCAATAACTGATGGCTGATTGGTAAATTCGAAGTTTGCTATGTTCAGATTTTGCTGTGTTGCATAAACCTGATTGGCCCACCTGTTCTGCTTTCTGTATTCCCATGAATATTCTGGCCTACTGGTGTTTGAGGCCACTTCTGTTCCCGACATAGACAGCCCGGTCGGTCAATCGTAATTAAACTTTACCTTGTTGCTTTCAATTAAGTGGTGTTGGTGATTTTTATTTGGAATCCAGCATATAACAAACATAAATGAAAATTAAATTTAAAAAAAGAATAGTAAGAAATCAAATAAATAACTGAAAAAAGAAAAGCCATTTTAGGTGATAAAGCAAGTATTAAACTTGAAATTAAGTCTTGGAGAGAGAGGACAGAGATACAGGGTTCTTTGCTTTGACATAAACACTGAGAAATTCTACTTTTCCATGTTTCTTTCCCAAAAATCTAAATCTTAATGGTAATGTCTGTGTAATTCACCTAATCCAATGCATATCTGATTTTGTGCATGTGGCCAAGGCATGGGTTAATTAAGGTGAAGGCATAGCTGTCACCTAAAGTGACACCCACTGGACATCCCAGCTCAGCCAAGAGAAAAAGTTAAAATGGTGTGTGTGCATGCACACACACACAAAAATGCACCTTCGCTTGTATGGACAAGCATGCAAAGGCCAGAGAGGTCAACACTGAGGTGTCTTCCTCAATCACTCTCCATCTTGTTTATTTGAGCTAGGGTCTCTCTCTGAGCCTGGAGCTCACTCACTGATTTGACTACACTCGGTGGCCAGCCAGCTCCAAGGGCCCTCCTGTCCCTGACTCCATTGGAATTACAAGTTCATGCCACTGTGCCTGGTTTTTACTTGAGTTCTGGGGATTAAACTTAGATCTCTAAGCTTGTGTGGCAAGTACTTTACCAGTTGAGCCATCCAGCCCCCAAAGCGATATGGTTTTGATGAAATAAACCAATCACCCCTCTCAACCCCTAAACTGCACTCCTGCCCTGATTGTTCTGGTCAGGATGTCTTCTGAATGTGTATAATAGAAAGAAAACATGGACGTTTCACATCCAAATTCCATGGCTTTCTGCCTGTGGGCTTGAGAGAATTCCTGTGTTTCCCTGGCCCAGTTCTTCCATTACATGAAATTAGGATACTGACTTTTTTCCCATCTCTGGGCTACTTTAAGGACTAAAAGAAGAATTGCATTAAAAATCCCTATTTTGATGCCTCATACACAACCAAGCTCAAAAATATCACAAATCAAAAAGTCACAGAAATATAACTATGTACTTACTATGCTTTCCAATCATAATCACAAAGTCACAGAAATATAGCTATGTATTATGCTTTCCAATTTCTCCTCTCTAGCCACATGTCTAACTTGACTCCTTCCCCTATCCGGTCATCTCTAACTCACATCATTTATTTTCAGATAAAGATGCTTTTACAAATATTGTGGTCTCTGTGAGCTACTGTATTTCCCCTCCCAATGTGCCTTGGGACATGGAACTGACCATGCACCCTTCCGCTGATGGGTTCTCATTGCCAGATTCTGTTCCGTGTTGAGCCCTGTGACTCTACCACATCAGGCCACTTAGGCAGAAATGTGTCTGTGTTGATTTAGAAATCTTCCTTTCAATTGCTTGTAATAAAAAAAAAAAAAAAACTGGTTCTTCTGGCAACTCTACACAGGTCATTTGGTCAGCCAGCAGGCGACTTGCTGAATGTTCATTGAAAGCAAACACAGTGGGCATTGTGGAGAGCTGGGGAGGAGAGGGCTCATCACAAAGCCCACTCTTGAGTTATATACAGGCTCCTGTAAACTCATACTCCTTGTGGTTTTTCCAAGGACTCTCATGACGGAGTGAACTTAGACATCAACACCCAGACCCACCAGGCCATGTGTGTATGGATCGTGGTCTTTTCCCAGATAAAACAGAGACTGTAGTTTAGCTGTGCCTCTTAAGGAAGCTTTGTTCTTGATGGCCATTGGTAGCATCTGAGAGTTAACTGTATTTTATTAAAGCTACAGGTTGTGTAGGTAGCTAAAGAGTCCTTAACCTGTTTCATCATTACTAAACAAAGCAAATGGTTTTTGTGCATAAATATTTTGTTTTTCTGTGTGGACTATGACCCATACACCTGGATCCCTTCATGTCCACTACTACAGGATAAAACGTCAAGAAAAAGTTGCCAATCCCCCCGACATACAAACACCAAGCAAAATAACAACACAACTTGCAGATACTGACTTGTCCATGACCAAGGGAATGTTCATAATAAAAACGGTAATCACCTACAAGTGCATTCCTGAAAAATGCTGACATTGCATTTTGGTGCCAATATCTGCCTTCAGTTCTGGGTAAATGTTCTCTTCAAGTGGAAATAACAGGGACATTTTCCTGTATCTCTTCTTAGGAAAAGTACTCTATAATTTTAGCTTCTCAATTCCTAAATTGATAATTACACGGATTTACATAAAAGGCCCATTGAATATTGTTAAATTGTTTCTAACAAGGCATAATTGTGTAAAGTGTTCTAAACTTCGTATGATTGCCTTCTGGCACAATTAAGAGATATTAATGGTGGAGCAGTAGTATTCCTGAGCCTAAAAGAGCTCCAATCACAAAACTGCCAAGAAATTCCTGGACCCAGAGAGGGGGGAATGGATGACGAATGGGCTTGATGGACAGGAAATTCTACAAGGAAAAAACATGGTTACTTTTAGTGTGTGTGAGTTTAAGGATGCTAAACATTCATTTGAACATAATTCAAAAGGCTCCAAAACTGCTGTGGTACTATAACCAGGAGCCACGGTCTCTCTCCAATTACTGTTACTTGTCTTGTAAACTTCCCAGGTAAACTGGATTCAACAGTTTTTTTACTGTTGTTCTGACATGGGGTCTCCTGTAGCTCAGGCTGACTTCAAACTCACTGTGTAGTCAAGGATAACCTTGAACTTCTGATCCATCTCCCAAGTGCTAGAATTAGAAATGTGTCTTAACATATACCCTACCCATTGAGCTACACCCCCAGCTTGACAAGATTTTTTTTTTGTCTTTTTGAGACAGGATCTCCCTGTAGCCCCAGCTGGCCTGGAACTCGCTATATAAACCAGGCTGGCCTTGAACTCACAGGGATCCACCTGTCTCTGCCTCCCAGTACTGGGATTAAAGGTGTGTGCCACCACAACCGGCTAAGATTATTTTTAAGGTGTTACTTCGGGTTATTGAATACATGTGGACTTTGAAAAATGAGATATAGATCTTTAGCATTTTGGAGGATATGTTTGAAAGATATCTAAGCAAAGAATATTATGAAATGGTTGTAGGGCAGACCTAGAAGACATTCCTAACTCTGATCTAGGCACACTGCACACAGTAGGGCTGTGTGGAGTCCCTTTTACCACTTTATCTGTCCATTCACCCATTTAGTCTAGGATTAGACAAACCACATGCTTTCTAACCTCCATTCATTTATGAAATGTTTTATTCTAAATATGTCATATTACCTTTTCTAAATGTGCCCCCAATATGTGTATTAAGAACCATTTATAAGTAGATCTGTCAATAGACAAGTCATACTTTAAAAATAATTTGTCAATATTTATTACTCTTGGGCTGCTAAGATGGCTCAGCAGGTAGAGGTGCTTGCAGAACAAACCTGATGACCTAAGTTCAATTCCTGAAACTCACCTAAAGGTGGAAGGAGAGAAATGACCCCATAGTTGTTCGCTAACCACCACATGTGCACCGTGGCACATGTGCCATATA